TTCAGGGAATAAATGTGCCCTTGAAACGATCCTTTCCTTTTCGAGATAAAATAATTAAAACGTAAAATAATTAAAGTCTCTTAGGTTTAGAGGTTACCGGAAGTAGATGCTGTTTTCTAGAGTGAAGTTTAACAGGAGCAAGGTTTTACAATACGATTCGAGGATTTAGATTTTAGATATTCCCTTTTCGACTGGAACGATGGCGTGACTAGAGGACACAAGGGCTTTTTGTCGTAACGGGGGGGAAATAAAGGGTTTAGTAAATGGAAGTGCCGAGTTTGCCAGAGCTGTGTGTGCGAGAATGGATTGAGCTCTTTCGAAAATAGAATGTTCGATCGATGATCCTTGTTTAAAAGTGTCATCTATCAAAGTGGTACAGAGAAGCTTCGAATTATTTAGCAATCGTTGTATATCTAACAGTTCGTACACACTTTAACATACTCATTCTCTTATATTTTTCAAAAATAGTAAATTTATTAACCTGTACAATCTTTTTAATTATTCTAGATTCTGTTAGTTTCTTCAAAACTATTAAATCTATTTACTTGTACAATTTTTTCGACGATTCTGTCAAGATTCAAGGAACTAAAAAAATCCAGAGACATTCTTTCGCCTGTTAAATTAATTTTATTGATAAAATTGTCAAATTAGTATTACAGAATTTTTCATTAACACTAGAATTACAAAACCAGTCAAAATGACTGGTCAATACACTGTTACAACGACGATTAAAATGTCATGACAATACATATTCTCAGATCTTTTGCACCTTTTATTACGATATGAGAGTGAAGAAATTAGTCAATTTCTAATTTTCAAAAGTTTTCCAAGTTTATCCAGCGATCGAAGCAAATATGCGTTTATCGTCGGTAGTTCTAGTGTTAATAGCGTTACAGGAAAAATTGTCGTAATTAAAATCGTCGGAGGGAGAGTATATTTTACGTTACCTTAGAGTTGGAATATTGTCGTTTGGTTCTGACCACATTTCGTGCGATATTTCAGATGATACCGGACGCGGAACACGGCTGTCAGACTTCGGAAGCTGCGGTCAGAGGCGCGGACGCGTATCAGAAGATTAAGAACGCGCCGGAAGGGGAAGCGGCCTCGGTGACCGCTTGGAAGCGATACCAGCAACTGGTGGCGATCGTCGAGTCCAGGGGCGGAAAGTTCAACCGGAAGTCGATGATCGAGGCAATCTTTCGCGGAAACAATCTCGTATACGCGAGCCACTGATCCCTTTTTTAAACAGGATCGAACGGGATCTCAATTCTGCAATTTTGTACCAAAGCACACGATAGACCTATTTTACACAGTGACGTAGGAACTTAATTATTCACAGTTCAGCCTTGGACGCTGTCGAACTGAATAATACTGACCGTTTTCCCTCTGTTTATAAACAGTTCCGGGGGATTTTCTCCAAGCAATATCAGATTCTTCTTTCTATACGTGACTCTAGAAAAGAAGAATTTCAGTTATGAATTTTTAATCAAACGGATTGTGTAAGGAGACCCTTCTGAATATTTACAATTGTGGGATCCGGAATGATCCTTGTCAAGGAATTCTTAGAATGCAGACTTGACCTCTTTACAGTGCATGCAGAATGTAAGAAGGATTTTATTGACTTTACGGTTTCGACAAGAGTTATTACCTTTGTGCAAGAACGAAGCGTGGAATTTATGGAACATAAAACAGATGGAATCTCAGCGTTGATGTTCGTGGACGTATACAATAGGAAGTTGTCGATAATTTTCTTCTCCGTCGCTCAGGATTAATCTCTTATATTACTAAGACTAACAAGTTCACGCAGTCGTTAGTCATTTAACTCTTCGTGAATCGTCTGGGTGCTTTATGGCACAAGTGAAATTTTACACTCAGATATCTCTGATACGAAGGAATTGTTATTAAAAAGAAACCTTTTAACATTTAACTTTATCAAGCGTTGGATCATGCAGTAGAGACTCTGGGAAGTATCCTTGAATTTTTTCAGATTTTCTGGAAGCCTATAAGATAAAAAAAATAGGTCGGGACATAAAAGACCCAGGGGTGTGATACAAGTAGTAAAAGTAACAGGGTTCACGTAGGGTTAAACGAGCACTGGTGATTCCATTTTCATTTAATTCAATTACGAAACTTCAATGTATCCTATCACGAGAGCTCGGAAAAACCGATCGATTTAATAGAACGTGGATTTTTCAGCGATCGTGTTGCGTCAGCGATCTCTGTTTTTGTCGGTTCGCCAAGCGTTCTCCAAGTGTTGCATAGGTGTCGTTGCGTAACGATCCTCGCATATTCGTCGTGGCTTTTTTTTTTTTTCAATAATCCATGACGAACACAACCGGTTCCTACGCCACTGACGGGGCGTAAGTGATTAGAGATACGATTAACGATGCCAAACCGTGTATTGCTAGTCAACGGGAGCGTAATAAAACGCGGTGTACAATTTAATTAGATAATTAAGCAACGATCAGGGCTAATCGGAGGGGCGTGTGTGTAGACGTAATCCCAGCGGTGGAACGAGCCTCCCGTATCCGCCCGAGGGGAAAAAAAATAACGAATATACTCTCTATGTAGACGTAACGATCGCAGGCTGTCTTAACCAATATGGCGGTCCTTACGACCACCTTCGAACAGGGGTCTAGTTAATTGGAAAATAATTATATGTATAGCTTGTGTACCGAGGATAGACATTCTAGACCGAGAACCCAAGACTCGTACCTTTTTATGGATTACTTATAGGTATTATTTACTTTAAGAGAACGAATAGTTGTGAAGGCGGAAATAAAGAGTTTCTTGATACACATACATTAGAGGGTGGGGTTTATTGATGGGACCTGGGGTGGTTTTGAGTGGCTCCGAAAGGATGGGATAATAGCGGTGATCTGATAGAGGTATAGTAAGATTTTGTAGAAAATTATGACAGAGATGGAAGGAGTTGTGAATGGAAAATAATTGGAATAAAAGTGTTCTGGAAAGTCATGGAAAACGGGGGAATATTTTATCATGCAGAGAATTTCGGGGGTCGAGGATGAGTGGCTCTTAAAATATGGGATAATAGCGGTGATCTTAATGGTAGTTTAAGTATAGAAATAGTCTACTAAATTTTGTAGAAAATTGTGAGAAAGATATGAGAATTGTGTATTAAAGTAATTGGAAATGAAGGTGTTTCGAAGAGCAGTGAAAGAAGGTGGAATAGTCTTTTCATGCAGAGGAGGGAGGAAATGGTAATGATTCAATCTAAAGTAACTGGAGTGGGAGGAAGAATAGTGTGAAAAAAACTCTGTAAACTACTAATAAATCTCGTTATAACACTACTGTAAAAATATAGTTCACAATAGTTGGCGTAAATCTTGTTAGAAAAGTCTAAATATCGTTCCTACTTCTAGAAATCACCTTTAAATCACTTCAAACATTGATGTTACTAACAGTCCAAAGCTATTGCTACTGTAATAATATAATATCTTCAATTAGAAGGGCTTAATAAGGCGACTAGTTTCCTCCTGTAAAAATTCCTCCATCGGGCACCTGTAACAAATATTCGAGGGGCTTAATTGGAACACGCAGTTGCCACGTAGACATGTATTTGTCGAATTAAATATTACCGTACAAATATACAAGGTATATACAAAACGATCTCCATACAATACTCGGAACCGTGAAGCGCTCGTGTAAATGATTTTTTTTGTCTAGTAACAGAACGGGACCGCGCGTTGGGAAACAATGGGGGCATATTATACGGACATTTTACACGCGTGGTCCGTTCGCTATTCCTATTTAGAACTTCGTCGCGTCCGCGTGGATCGTAATTCAGCCGGCGCAATTTCGATCGTTGGCTCCATGACTCGTTACGCCGTTGATTTACGCGTAGACGCAGGGCGGTAATGAATCGTCCTGTTTAAATCGCCGCTACCAATAATGTTCCGCCGATTTGTTTTTCCGCTCCACGAGATCCTCCATCATTCGTCGAGCTTCTTCGCCGACTTTGCTGGATCGTGGTCGCCTGGTTTTCGAGGTAATCTCGGAGGAATTTGTGTTCATCTGATTATAAGATAATCTTGTATTATCAGTATCTGTAATTATTGTACTACGGATGTTTATGCAATATCACAATTTTAGGCATTAATTTGTAAACGTGAAGGAATTTTTGATATTGAGCAATGTGAATGCATTGAAATAATTCGAAATATTTGTACAAAGGAAGTAATTTGATGTTAGAATCACTTTGTGATAATCTTTTTTTAGAATTTTGCTTCCATCTTCTTTCATCGCGAAGATAAAGGTGAATACGTTTTATTACATAAAAAAGATCGAATTGTAAGATCCGAAGCGTAATAATATTTCCCGTGTATAATTGTTCGCTCGAGCATCCGCAGTCTAATCGCCACTTTCATCGCCATTGACACGAGCCCCGAAGTAGGACGATAGCGATCGCAACGATCAAATGAAAAGAACGGGTGTAAAGAAACTGACAATTGATTTAATTAATGATTTCTTCGACTCGCAACCAACGCGCGTTCGCAAACTTTCCAATCCCTGCCACTTCCGCGCGGCGATTATATAATTTTCTAGATCTCCGGTTCGCGGACGGAACTGCAGGCGATTACCTCGCGATTTCTCCCTCTTTCTCGAGGATCGATCCTCGCTTAAAAACGAAACTAATATTAATTTACAAGAACACTTTGTACAGTCTTTCCATGTCGCCGTGTGTCGTATAAAACAAAGAAAAAGGTTCTACAATCTCAACAAATAGTTCCAGCAGTTCGTTTCATCGATTTTATACATCATCGAGCGTAAGAAGCTTACTTTATATGAACACTTTGTACAGTCTCTATTGTCATTCCAACTCTACACCTCGATGAATCATCTCGTGTCATCAATTCTACCTCTTCATGAGTCCCCGATCTTCTTTAACCTCTCGATCGGAAG